GCAAATACGTTTTTTTGAAAAAAAAAAAAAAAAAGAAAAAAAAGAAAGAAGGTTGCACAGACAACCGGAAGCCCAATCTGTGCATTCACTGCATACCTAATTCTCAACATGGCGTCGTTTCGCGTTTCGCGGGACCCGCGGATGGCAGCGGACGACGGGCGTGGGACCTCTACTTCAGAACTGTCGTTCACGGTATCGGCGAATACTGTCTTCCTTTGAAAGATAAATTTTGGATCGATCTGAAGAACTGGTATTCATCCCGTACGACACGCCCCACCAGTAAAACCGATTGCACGAAGACGTCGCCGAATCGTCGTCCTTTGTCGTGGCTGAAGACATCGCTCACTCAAACGTCAAGCACTAAGTGCGTACTTCGAGTTGAATACGCACGCGTACAGTTTCTTTACTAGGTGCGAATGTGGCCAATGCGTGGTGCTGCCCGACTTCAAGCTGGGAGTGCATGTACTGGAGGGAAATCGGCAGCAAACTTTCCGACATACAGTCGACCGGTTGCATTACTACAAACGAGAAAGTTCCTTCAGTATCCCAGTGGAAAGATGCCTGCTTCACACGCAACGGGCACGGGTTCGATCTGCAGTGTGGGCGTACCATTTTTTTTTTTTCAAACATTTCACGATGTTTACATTTTTTTTACAGTTATCACTTAAAAAACAATTGTTGTGGACGATACGTCACTGAATTAAATGGTATGGGATTCCATTTCTGACACATCTGCTACACAATGCCACTTTCAGATGCAGGACAGGTGAGGCAGCTCTTCACGCAAAAATCTCGGGAGTATTCTTTTCGGAGGCGATCAGGGGAATTCACCACCGGGCAGTCACTACTAATTGCCAACACTTACATGTACAAAACAACTCATTTTGAAGTACAGAACAGAGAGCGGAACAAACATAACTGCAAAAAAAAAAAACGCACGGCGAACGGATCCCGCAAGGCAACTCTCCCGCTGCGCTAAAAAAACAACAACAAACAATTGCACGGTCGGGTGTAGTTACGTTATTTCCGCCACTCCCTCTCTCCTCTCCACTCCTCTGTGCGGTGCGGGGGTTTCGGTTTCGAGAAGTTGCGTTTTTCGGCTTTATTAAAAAAATACGTGACGCAGTAGCGAAATATTAATTGCGTAATATTCTGACACCATAATAAATCAACTAACAAAAAAATGAAAAAAAAAATAAATAAATAAATTAGGGGGTGTCAGTGTCCCTTTAAGTTGAAGTGGACGATATCCTGACTTCCATGCATCCTTATCCTCTTTACATTGTGTAATGATACTGGCGTCTTAATGTTACTCTGGTTCTGCCCAGGTAACTGCCGACGAAAGCAGATCTGCATCGTCTGCTTCCCGCGTTTGGGAATGCGTACTGCGCGTCGGCCTCGTCTGTCGTGTGTTCATAAAGAAAAAAAAAATCAGACCGGATAGTTTTTTACGATACGAGTTCTCGGCACCACGGGGCGACGGATCGGATCGGACAAGGCGTCCAATACCTACCCCCCCCCCCCCCCCCCTCCTCCTCTTTCCAACCAAACGCAATTACAAGGAGGTGAATCCGCTACAGAGATACCACGAAGGAATTGAGGGCAGCACCGCTTGACTCCAAACAAGACGCGAACATCGATAACAGTTTTGTACGAAGCAATGCGGAACCACACAAAAACAACAACAAAAAAGGAACCAGCGATGTTGCTTTCCTTTTTTTTAACCTTACTCGTTTGTTTCCAGAAACGCAATCGTTCGAATAAGCAAACTTTCATTCCTTCGGAAAAGCGCACACAAAGTAGCGCGAACGCGAGCGTTCTACGAGAAACGGAATCGAGTTGACCCGAGGTGAGACCGCCAGCCGAGCCTCGAGGGGTCACGGCCGGCACACCGCGTGTACGTGTGTAGGCGTGCAGGCTCGCCAGTTTGTTCCTCGGAGTCCCTCGATCGGCTCCCTCGCCTTCGGCAACCGATGTAAGAGCGGGGAAACGGCCGAGACGATGAGCACCCATCTCCGGGCAGCGGGACACGCGAAGAGACTCCGGAAAACGAGACAGAGCGCTTCGCCCAGATCCAAAAAAAGTCGAGTGAAATTTCTGCATCCCGAGACGATAACTGCGCGACGATAATCGCCGAGACAAGCGTGAAACACGCGAGAAAAAAAAATCGCGTCGCGCCGCATCGCTGAGACGAGTAACAACAGTAAACCGCTAGTGACGTGCCAAATGCCGCGTCGCAGCGACGGTTGCTATGGTTACGCCGCCGGGCGGCGCGACAGGACGCGGGTTTTGCTCACATATGTGTTTCACGTCTAAGACAGTAGTGTTCACGAAGGCCATCCCTCGCAACGCAGCTACGAGGTAAAGTAATAATAAACGTTCAAAAGAAGCTTGTACAATTTGTGCATCGCTATTTTGAGCAGAACACGAACAATTGCAAGGTATTTTTCATGTACTATCGGGGAAAAATGAAATGCGAACAGAGGAGCGCGTGTCTCGCGGTACAGGCTGCGCCGCCTGGAAGTGAACCTAGGGGCGAGGGTGCTTGGCCTACTTCGATGTGTTCACGCCCCTCAATTGGCGCTCCCCCAGCTTCGGCAGTGCGCCTCTCAGTGCGCTGAAAGCTGTCACCGCATCTTTGCCTGCTCGGCGAGTGCGGCGAGCTTCTTTGCACCGCACGCGCTGAGCCAGCAAAGATAGCAGTGATAGCTTTCAGCGCACTAAGAGGCGCACTGCTGAAGCTTGGGGAGCACAGAGGGAGGGGCATGAACACATCGAAGTAGGCCACGCACCCTCGCCCCTAGGTTCACTTCCAGGCGGCGCAGCCTGTACCGCTTGCCACGCGCTCCTCTGTTCGCATTTCATTTTTCCCCGATAGTACTTCCTGCTCGCGTGATTGCCTACTGCTGTGGTTCTCATATGGGGGTCCTTGAAGGCCTCCTTAGGGTCCCCGAAGTAGTCAACCGTCAGTCAAGCTGAGCAACAAATATTTCTTCTTATTATTATTATTATTATTTTTTAATGTTGGTTGCCTCACAAAATATATCTAGACCAAACCATGTGTGCTGAGTGAGTGTAATCTGCTAGTTTAATAACCCGCCTCCTCTCCGGTGGATGGAGTCCCCCACTACTTTTGCTGATCCACAAGGGGTCTCCCCAAACATCACTGGTTGAGAAACACTGGCCTACTGGATGCATCCTCGTAATGCGACGGCGCACACGACGAGTACTCCACTACGACACGTTAGGCGCACCTCGGCTGCCACAGCGACCAACTCGTCGCAACGTGGTCGGTCACACACAAACGGAAATGCATGAACCAGCCTTCAAGGTTACTAATGGCTACCGCTCGCGACAAGACGGAGCGACATCACTCGGTGTTTGTTCACACGTCTTCCACTTTACTCCAGAAGAGTTCCCTCCACAGTATGGCTTCAGGTACGAACAATATTTCCTTCTCTTTTTATCATCTCTCCGCGCACAGAAATATGTATTATTGCGCAGATCTTCTCCACTTGGGGAGTTCCCCCTAAATCACTAAGGTCATCACTCTGTGTAATGCCCTTCGGCCCTTACAGGCTTGAGTGCCTAGACGACCGAGAGGCTCGCCCCTTCCAACCAGCGATTCCACACACACACACACACACACACAAAACAAAAAAAAAAAACGCAATGAAGCAAAGAAACGCCAATATATTTCTTCTTACACTACAGAGCAACGCTACAGGAACCGGGTGGACCTAATTCAAGCCCCGACCTGGGCGCCCCTAGCGGCGAACGAAATCGTTTTATCGGGAAGGTTCTGGTAGTCGCTGCGTTGGTTGTGCGTTGCAGCGGCAGTAGCGGGCCTATTCCGCACCAAAAAAAGCCGCAACAATTGCTGCGTGGTCGGCTGCAGCAGTACGTACAAGAACGCGCACGGCACGAAGTTTTACGGCTTCCCTTCGAAGCCGTACAAGGCGGAGCTCAGCGCAACCTGGGTGCGACTTGTGCGTCGATGAAAGTAAGTGGCGTTTCTCATCTAGCAGTTCGCATTTTGCTTTAAGCTGCAGACAAATAATACAATCACCTTTTTCTAGCGACGATGGAACATGGACACCTGCGGCAAACTCTAAATTATGCAGCAAATACCCCACCGGGAACGAGAAGCGGAACGTGGTCGGCCACGTAAGCTACAACCTACCCTTAGATGTTTACATCAGCCTAAAGGGAGACAGTAGGGCTGAGAATCGCGGAACGACGCGAAAACAATCGCCCGGTTGTCAAGCCGATTCGGAAAGTAATAAACGTACATCACTAGCGCAGTCCACTCCACACCTACTAAGAAAACTCTCTTACGTGAAGCTAGACGTATTTTTGCGGGCGCACTCAATTTCGTCTGCGGAGTACAGCGTGCCGCGAGATCCACTTGTCCGTCGAAACAGACCTCCTCCACGTCGTACACATGGCCAGATTCATGAAGGAGTTTTTCCTTCGTCATATTGGCACCACAGAATAAGCTTTGAGGAATCGCAACCGCCTGAAAAACCATCGTAATCATTAAGGGGACACTGTCCACTGTGCTGTTCGTCGCCATTGCTTCCCGATGGTTCTGCGCCGGCTACCAAACAAGCTTTCCGGATTCGTAACCGCCTTAAAACCCGTCGTAATCACAAAGGGGAAACTGTCCGCTGTGCTGTTCGTCGCCATTGCTTCCCGATGATTCTGCGCCGGCTACCGCTAGGTGGCAGCTAACACAAGGCGACCGCCGCGACGCGGCCGGTCCGCCCGCTTCCTAGAAGACCACACGGAGGAGTGCAACCAAAGACGTGCACGTTTAATGCAGAAACCTCAAACGAAAACTCGAACCGAGTGGTCATTTCCCGCTCCCCGAGGTTCCACGACGAATTACAAAAGCGCACAAACATCTTTAGCCGTGGCTGCTTGACATGCCCATGCGTAGTCCGTACCCAAAATGAGCCGCGCACTGTTCTTGAAGCGGCGAAAAAGGAAGAGCCTACCTCAAAGCGATAGAGATCGGGGTCCTCTCGAAGCAACCGGACGAGGCTGTGGTAGTCCGCCTGCGCTGCTCGCAGTATCCACTCACGGCGACGAGGGTCCAACTGGAAGGAACACTGGACTCTTAACCTCAAAAACAGAGACAGAGATCATGGTGATTTTTGTGACGCATACGGCTAGGGATGAAAAGTTTCAGGTGAAGGCGCCGAAATTCAAAGCGACATTCAAACCTGTAGAACTTTAGAAAAGGGGGGAACGTTGACTACAAATAACCCTTCTCAATATATATTTTCAGCTGTCAAAACCCGCACTTCTGAATAATAATAATAATAATAATAATAATAATAATAATAATAATAATAATAATAAAACAACTTCGAGGACGCTTAAGCTTCGCCTTAAAGACTGGAACGCAATAGCTAAACATATAAACTCCCGCTCGGTCCCATACCGAGCAAGCGTTCCACGAGTGGCCCAGTCAGTAGCGTGTCCTGGGTTCGAATCCCACCCAAAAGTCTTCAAAATTTTCTTTAACGCAAGTGTATTACTCTATGAAGTAAAATCATTTGAGACCTATGGCGACCTTTAATTCGCATTACATGCGATTTTTTTTTTAGTTACTCATTTCACGCGTGACGTCAAGTTTCACGTGAGCGTTCTTGGTTGTTTAAAATTCCCGCGCGAGGTCATCTCCTATGACGTCACGACCCTATCGACCAATCAGGATTTTCCTGTCACAACGTCGCCGACTTTTTTGCAACACGAGCTACTTAACGCTGTCGCGTTAAATAATAATAATAAAAAATTGGCACGACAAATTTCGGGGGTTTGCGTGCTAAAGCAGCGAAGGAATCTAGCATGCCACATCGAAGAACTGAGTATACGCCTCGCAAGTGGGCTCATTTTCGTCTTCTGCGCATGAGAAAGGAAGTAGTGGTGACGTCAGAACGCCGAGCCCTGATTGGCTGATCGCGACCCCCTATCTCAGCGTCGTCTGCTCCTTTGCAACGTCGTCTGCTCGCAACGTCGTCTGCGCCTGTCTTACCTTTCCTGCGACTTTCGGAGTGAACTCGACTTCGCCTTTAAAGGGCAGACGAAATAATTCGAGCGGTGCGTTGTTTTTGTCTAAAACTAGCAGACGCGCATCAAGGAGGGAAGTCAGAGGACTCACTGGCGAGGTGTCCCGGGGCGCCGAGGTTTGTTTGCTTAGAACCGAGAGTGAGCGTGTTAGTGTCCGCAAGTTCCCTCCCAAATACTTTTTCCCTCCATTCGTGTGCGGCGAGACCCCTCACTCTTTAACGGCGTCGGCGGGTTGGCGCTTTTAACGTCGTCTGCTTTACGTCTGCTAGTCAAAGCGATGGCTGCTTTACCTTTCCTGCGTCTGTCGGAGATTCACCGCTTTTTCACCGGCGAGAGTCACTGTTGCCTCGGGAAGCAAGGAGATAACAAGAGGAAGAAATTGACCTCTTAATCTAAAATTGAGGTCAGCGATCAAAGTATAATACGGGAAGGGTTCACAAGGGTCGTGCGGGCATGTTCCATTCAGCACGCCAGCCGGTCGTGGGCAGACGGTCGCCGAGTCGCGAAGCGCCTGCTAGGCCTAACTGCCCAGCTCGTTTGGTCGCGTTCGGTGGAATCGAGGCCGTTGGAGCTTTTCCTGGGTGTTTGTGGATCCAGCGTTCTTGTTCGTCGTGGTCTGTTTCAAGTACTTCTTAATTTTTTCTTGCTGCTTGAAGTCGGGACGCGTCAGAAGCGCAGGTAGAAAAATAAACGTCCGTGGGTCGTCGCGACCGCAACGCTGTCGGCCATGCTGAAAGACAGCTTCGGAGCTGCCGTAGGATTTCGTCGTAACCTGCGCAAAACTTACGAAAATTTCGTTTCGTGAATACGATTTTGTTCTTAAGTGTTGTCTTACGCACATTTTTGGCGTAAGATCGTTTCGTGAATCCGGCCTCTGCACTTCCGAAAGTCGCAGGAAAGGTAAGACAGACGCAGACGACGTTGCAAAGGAGCAGACGACGCTCAGATAGGGGGTCGCGATCAGCCAATCAGGGCTCGGCGTTCTGACGTCATCGCTACCCCCTGCGCAAGAAGCAGACGAACTTGCCCTCCGTATTGATTTAGGCCGCCTGGGGTTCTTCTGACGAGCAGCCGACCAGTTGCACGGCGTCTGCTTTGCAGTAAACATCCCAAAAACCGTACGAGAAAAAAGAAAAGAAAAACAAAGCTGTACGTTCTAAAGCAATAAAGGGCCAGCGTACACATCTTACCACTAATATAAAGACGATCGGTTGCTTAATCGTAAAAAAAGAAAAAAAAAAAGGAGAAAAACAACTTATTAAGACTTCCAAAAAAAAAAAAAAAAAAAAGAGACTAGGCGTTGCAGCTTATCAATGCGAAATTCGGACACAGAACACTCACCGTATTCAGGGACGTTGTGTCGTCATCAGCCGCCTGCAAAAGGAAGAGCATATCGATGAAATAAACGACAGCTTCGCAGGAAGCCTCAGGCGATCCCACAGTGCGCCCCACGCAACACCAGCAGGAGATCTAAGAGCTGGCTCATCTTAAACGCGATAAGCTCAACGAAATTTTGTCGACGTGTTCAACGGGCGCAGGACAAACACAGCCTTTGTGTCAACGATAACGGGACAGTGCGGAGAAAGATAATACATTTCCACTTCCAATCTAGACCGATTAACAAGAGGAAAATAGCGCCGCAGGAGTCCGCTTTCGCGCGTGACATCTGAGCCGCGAGAGAGAACGTTTGGCGCAATAAAAGACGCGGCATCTAGCTGTGAGCGTGCGAACGTACTACGCAATAACGTCGTCGCTAATATCCAGCTCCTATAGGCATCGAATGCGCCGCTGCGGCGTGGCACAAGTGGGAAAACATCAGTCCGCGCAACTTTTATTTATGGTACCAAGCTATAGATATAGGCAAACAGGAGGAGATAGCCAATTCATAACCTCTCTTTTCGTAAGATAGCCTCAATAGGGCTAGAAACTCCCTAAAGCAGTCATCCGTCGCGTTCTTACTACAAACGCTTCGCGCTCGCGTTGTAGTAGACGCACTTTTTCCCTGTCATGTCATGTCATCGAGATCTCGGCAAGACAAAAAGGAAGGACTTTGAGGGAAGCACATCAAGCGTGAAAAAGAAGACTCGTGTCCGACATAAACACGACTTTTTTTTTTTTCTTTTCTTCTTGCCAATCGTTTTTGTTTAAAACCAAACCCCCCCCCAAAAAAACCTTAGCTGCGAGAAGTTACCTTTCCTGTTAGGTCTTTCTTCGTATTTGTGTTTTTTGGCGGGGCGCTTTTTCTAGTAGAAATAGCACTGGTTTATTTACAATTGCAAACATTGTATTTTCATAGATTATGCACGGAGTACCTTCCTGCAATCTGATGTGCACAACAACACACAACAATACGAGATTAAACTGAAAAAAAAAAAAGCGAATGGTGTAACCTTGAAATGAGGCTATCTTAAACACAAATATACATCGCTATAATGCGCACATGAGATGATAGCTACGTTATTAACAATTATGCTAGCACTAAAGGGTCGAAAGCAACGATAATTGAAACTCGCTGTTATCGATGGGAGGCACTCACTTGATCGAATGACGTTTTAGCGAACGCCCACGTTTCACCGAACGACACTTTAACGAATAGTCGAACGCCGCGAAGCGGCATTTTCGGGTGGGCCAAGTGGGTTCATATTTTTGTAATGAGCCGCCGCAGACTGTCGCCGCGAAGCGGCGTAAAGCGCAGCGCGGCGGATGGGTTAACGCGCGCCCCCGTTATTCGCTAAAACGTAGATTCGCTCAAATGTCGCTGTTCGCTAAAACGTCATTCGCTCATGTGGTATGGACCCCTTATCGTTGGACATCGTGTTTACAAACACTCACAAATACTATACACTCTTTTTCAACCCCCGGAGCACGCTTGCAAACGCAACGTTTGTCTGTAGGATGAGTCCCCTATTTAACTTGCTTAGAGTCCGCGAGCTCAGCAACGAAGGCAGCCTTTGACAACTGAGTGAATGCTTCATCTGCGCTTCCGACAGGGTCTCCAGCTATCCAGTTTGTCTTTCGGGTCAAAATACTGGCAGGGTCCCGCGACCATCTTGCGGTGGAATAGTGTCACACAAATCACCGCAAAGAAAACCTTGCCATGTATTAAACAACCGTGACTCAAAAACTGGCCAAGTCAACTTTATGCAGGGCAGTTTCACCAGGTCTCACCTGCTGTTTTTAGGTATCGCGATCGCACTACGCGCGCAAAGTACATTGCCTGGCTAAACAGATCATTAATTGTTTTAAAACATACAAACATTGCTTTCAGTTCACACTCAAAAAGCTACAAAAAAAAAAAAAAGAAAAAAAAAAAAAAGGCCGCGACAAGTGTTACACGACAGGTATAACACTTTTCTTAAGCAGGAACCTGGGGGGACCAGGCAGGCCGAGGCGGCGCTGACCTTTAGGAGGACATCGCCACCTCGCGGAGAGCGACAGAGTGTGTGCAATAGACCCTTTGCTAAATCACCCAAGCGCCCCGGCCCGCACTCGAAGAATCATGGGAACGGTTCAATTTCCTAGTGATCGGTAACTTCGACCAATTCGATGGTTACAGAGTTTAGAGGGTAATCCGGAGTCACCCTGAACAAGCGTCGTGTAGTGTCCGAGGTCCTGTCATATCACTTTTAAAATTTCGCGTCAATGTCAGCGTTTTTGATACTGTGCATGCGATCCACCATTCAACCTGGTTGACCTGCAAAAAATCTCTTACAATATTATAATTCTCGTAAGCGCGAAAAATGCAATAAACAGCCCTGTGGACTTCCAAGCTAGATCCTGGTTTTGCTTGTGAATTCTCGGCTTTATAAACAATTCCGGCTAAAACAACAATCACGAGATCTGATAATACAGTCAGAGATTTCTGCAAAAGGCGGATCGCATGCACAGTCTCAAAAATGCTGACATTGACGATAATTTTTAAAAAGTGATATGACAGGTCCTTGGACTGTACATGACGCTTGTTCAGGGTGACTCCAGATTACATTCAAAATTACGGAACCATCGAATTGGTCGAAATTACAGATCACGAAGAAGCTGAAGGACCACCGCTCCCATGATCTCTCGAGTGCGGGTCAGGGCGCTTGGGGGAGTTAGCAAAGAGTCTATTGGCTGCGTGTGCGAACTACATACAGGGGGCGCTTTTCTAGCTATCATAATCATCGTTTATGACGTCACGGGGAGGACAGACTGGGACAGGCCGCGCAGATCTTGGATCCCTCAGCTGGTCAGCTCGCCTCATGCGCTGTTCGGGTAACGTGCGGCAAAGCCTGCTTCACGGGTTGTGATTTGGTAGGTAATCATCATCATTTATCATCATCATCATTTATTTTCCTTGAGGGCCCGTGGGGCATTATACAAGGGCGTGGCAATAGAACAAAAACAAATAGAACAGTAAACACAAATATAACACTGTAAGCTAGCTAGGTAGGTTAGATAAAGAGAGGGTAATGGCTTCAACAAATTTAGTAGTATCATTAATAGAAACGATGTTATGAGGTAGTGAATTCCAATCCTCGACGGCCAATGGTAGTGTGGAAGTCTGGTGAGAAACAGTTGATGATCGAATTGGACGTAATTTACATAGGTGATCTAGACGCGGGAAAATACGATGGGGAGGTGATAGCAGTGATTCTTTGAGGTGGCTATTGTGATAAAAAATTCGATGGAGGAGAGAAAGGCGTGATACTCGGCGGATTTGTAGTAGGACATTTTAAGAAAGCTTGAAACCGTGGCACGAGTAGCCGCGCTAACAAACGGTTTTGGCGGTGATGTGTCGAAGCGCTGGGATAGTGGTGTGCACGCTCTTCTCTACCCCAGTACAGAAAGCAGGATGATGCAAATGGAATATTCGGCACTTTACCCCACTACAACATCTACCACGGCGAATAGGGTGAATTTTTTATTATGATTCAGAGAAAATAAAACTGAGAAAGGAATGCCTCTTAAATTCAAACCAGGAAAGGTAAAAATTAGAGAACCTCTCGCGTGTGTAGTAAACACTTCAGTGGAAGCGACTCCATGTATCCTGTTTCAATCTGTTCTGCGAGTGGTGGTCTCTTATCAGTATTCCTTTTTGAATTTTGTAAACCAATAAACAATTATTTCGTCAAAATAACTGGCAGGAAGAAGCGGTGGTTGGCGTCCGGAGTCGTTTCAATTATATCTCAGTTACCCGGTGGACGCGAAACGTGCTAGACCCCCCACCACGATAGAAGTCTTAAATCTAGTAAGTCGGTGACACGTCGGCGTCCCAAAAAATGAGGAATACAACTGCTACGAATTACTACCATTGCGTGATGCATTTCTCAGAGCGCGATTTTAAATTTGAAACAATTCTTAGTAAAAATTGGGCAGAACAAATGAATTAATCGCTCGAATTTGCCGGGCCATGTCTGACAATTTCAGAATTTATGAAAATATCTGCTTTTCTTTTGAGCAGAAGTCGCGATGTGAAAAACTTTTTTTGCCACGTACGTATTCGATGCGGGAGGATCTAAGCGTCAATTGCTAACGAGCATTTGCTCGCCAGCAACTGTCGAGTCACACTCGAATAGAAGCGTCGGCGGTATCGGCAAGCTCAATGTAGCTAAAACAAGTGTGCGGCGCTTTGCAACACAACCGTGCGCGCGTGCACAGCTAATGAGACGCGTTATTTACTCTGGTGAATGGCTCAATGCAAAACATTTTTCTACAGCAGCCTCCACAAAAAAAAAAAAAAAAAAAAGAATCCGAGACTAGCCCTGAGGCACGTCGCGGAAGCTGCAATGTGAAGCTCCAGGCTTGTTTTTGAACAATATAAAAAGTAACTTCGAGGCACTGTTATTCATTAGAAAGATCACTCACAAAAACGTCATACATGTTTCGTTAATAAATAAACCCTTTTTATTCAGCACAGACGCAAACTAACATAGCCACCAAAAACATCTCGTCGTCCATTACGCTCGTATACCGATGGGGAGCGTCGGATCTCGGAGGCCGTCCTCCTCCGAAACACGTATGAGCCTCCGCCGCCAAGTGGGAGGAGAGCTCGCACATGCGCAGAACTCTTCTCGGAAAAGGTTCATTTCACTCACTTTTGTAATTTTACTTTCTTTCTTTTTTTTTTCTTCCCTTTTTTTTTTTTTTTTTGTACGTGTGTGCCGCATTGTATAACCTATTTTGAGATTGGAGCCGACACTAGCTACTGTGGCTATGGGTCCAAAAATTGTTTTATGCTCATTTCATTGTATCTGTTTAAAAAAAAAAAAAAAAAAAAAAAAATTTGAATCTGAACTTCAATCCCGCTGTCCTCGAAACTGCGCGAGGGCCGAATTCTCCGAATGGATCCACCAGCTCGTGTTGAGTGTTCATCTGAGAAATTACTATGCTCGCGC